CACGAACTGTATGACTGGCAAGCTCCAAGTCCTAAAGCATTTCTAAATTTATTGCAATAAATTTGAACAGGCAAGTCAGAAGACAAACCCTGCGAGAGGAATTCCTTTCGTATACTCTCATCGGTCGCGTACGTATAACATCGAACAAGATAGACAAATGAAGCGAATTAAGAAATCTAGTTAGTATTGCCCATGTGTGTGTATTAAGAAAATACACAAAAATTGGGATCACTGGACCACTTGGTCAGGATTTAACAACTAAAAGTTTATTTACTGATTTTTCAGTACTTCTAGCATTTAACTCTACTACATAACCTGTTCTGAGCTGACATCTGCCAATTTTCTCATAGTGATCATATAGTTGCAGAAGACTACCGAGAATCGCCGTTTAGGTTAAGCAGTGAATACTGAAATTTCTGTCTTATAGGTAAATATTTTCTCCTATCATATTATTTGGTTGATAATTGTACATCGCTATGAAAAATTTCATTTTTACTAAAATAGAACATAAATTCGATGCAGCTGGAGTTGTTGTTGTTGTTTAAATTGACTGGCATTTTCTTACCAGTTGATTCCAATAATCGCTAAATATTCCTGCGAAGTGACTCGTTTTTCTTACCACTTGGTTTAACTGTTGCCCGTATTCGATATCGGGAGTGAGTTCTTTGCACATTGGTGAGATAAAAGCTCATTCAGGGGATGTATACGGTATTTCCCCGCATCAAACACTTATGTTGTCGATTCTATTAGTCGAATGCCCTATAAAAGTACGATTTCTCGATTTCGTCAACGGCCGCTGGCCCATCAGTTGTAAGGTAATGAAACATCAACAGAACAAATTCACAAAGGTTCATTTATAAAATTCGCTCTTCGCCGCTCTTCGGAGATTGAAATTTCATTTTTCAAGTACTCTGTATGCCCTCCTTTATTTTTGAGCACCCGGTCCACCAGAAATATAGGCTACTTAAAAAACCTAGAGTAACCATATTAGCCACTCCCCTGAACAAAAATCATTTATTAGGAAGAATGAAGTTCCATGCAGCTCTGCATGGAGCTTTGGAGCTCTAACTTTCGAACTAATATGATTTTTGTCGTGACACTCAAGGTCGCATCAGTGCAATTAGTGATACACGAAAATTAAGAACATTGCAGTACGAGATAAATTTCGGAATATGTGACCTTCACCAGTGGTTATCGATATGCAATTGTAATATTCTAAATTGTAATAGAGGGTCATGCCTCACGGGTTCAATCAATATCTATATTTATGGAACGAGTAAGCGGCCATTGGGTTTTTCAAACAATCAACAGCTGCTTCCATGAGTGCATAGAGGGTGGATGAGTGATGTTTTGCTACTTTTGACCTAAATGTTCTCTGGAAGACAAATGGATCTGACCCAGTACAAGTCAAATTGTTCTAACGAGTCCGGAAAAAAAACGTGAAGTTAGTAGAATGGTGATCACTGTACACGGTATGCGAATCAGCAATTTCTCGGTACTTATGATGATATGCTTACTCTTACTCCTGGGAATAAAATACATTCTCAGTTCTGCCTACTTGAAGTTATTCTGTTCATGAATTGTCCGCTTGCTCTTCCCGTGTTTAGACGCTTTGTATGCCTGTCCGTTGACCCCAAACTGTGGGCCTGAAATTTCACTCGAAATCGTACGCTTCCTGCTGATTTCAAGGACTGCACTGAACAAGAGAATAGCCTGAGAAATGACTGGCTTACTTTGTGTCCTACAACCAAATTAATAGCAAAGTAGAGCGAAAACGTAAAGTTATAAACCAAATAGCTGAAATTTATGATCCCCGTTCCGGTCAAAAAAACACAGAAAAACAATGGGAAACTATAACGACCAAAATTCTGTCGATTACTTCACTAAAAGTGAAAATATCGTGCGACTGGTTGGTAATTACAAGCAGAAAGCCCGGTTACATAGTACATCAGTCTCCATCTTGGTAGGAATTAATCACAGTGAGTATCCACCGGACCCTTAGAGAGTTGAATAGTGTGATGGGAATGGGGAGCTTATTACTCCAACACGCTAGCGGTTGAAGCTTTCAAAATGGACCTTTGTCCCTTTAACACACAAATCGATCACGTTTTACTACTGTTGAAGTAATGAATCTTTATCCGGCAATCATCGAGTCATTCGTTATAAAAATGTCTTTCTTTACTTCCTTTTTCATTATTGAATGTACAAATGTACAGTCAACATTCAGGAAGGGGACCGTGGCCATACAAAGGCTGCCTGGGAAAGTACAGAAATAGGGAAGACGGGCGGCGGTGGAGCGGTTTAAACCCGGGACTTCAAGGTCACAATTTGGTGACCTAACCATTTGGCCACCAGCGTCAATATTTATTTTGTATGTGTATGTAAAAACAATATTATATGGTCGGAGTGCATAAGTTAGATTTATTCAAAACAGTCTTAGCCGTCTTTTCAAGTTTCATACTTTTCTTCGGCATATGATGAATTCTGTGCTTAGATCGAATGCCGTCATCATCAACTTCATTCCAACTATTAACCGATTCAATTTGTTTTCACATAAGTCACAAACCCCTAAATGTAGCATCAATATGATCTGGGGTCGGCCTATCAAAAATGGTCAGCTATAACGGACGAATGGTGCTCCATTGTTTATAGATAAAGCGAAGTTGTTTAAACAACTGCCCGTTGCTCACCTAGATTTTGCAGTAAGTTCTACTTGTAAGTACCCCTGGTTGATCCTCGATCGATAGGTTGTTACTTACGATAGCCCACAGGTAATATAACGTAAGTTGCATCAATAGCATGTATCTTGGGTCAGATGCAGTGATTATTTGGTACACAACGGAGCTTTTACGAAAGAAACTCATTATTTCAGTTTTCTTCATTTTTTCTACATATTTGCATTTTCAGTAGTGTGCAACGTTCCTTCTGCTTCATAAAGACAATCGTTTGTAATTAAATTTCATTGGTTGAACTTAAAGTGTTGGTTTCTTGCCGCGAAAAACTTCAGCAGATTAGTTTTAGTCTTCCTTGAGGTTTCACCTCTTGTGTTACCTAACCTGATTTCACTCACGTTCCCTCCTCTCTAGCTCGGATGAATTGCCCGTTTGACCTATGTGCTTGAGGACTTTTTCTACCAATTTTACATATGTAATCTTCCCACTTGAAAAAGTATTCGATAATTTAAATGTTAGTCTTTTCTATCACTCCTTCAGCTCTATTCTGTTCCATTCACGTCTACTGTCTCTTGTCCCTCTATCACTGACCATTGTGGTCCCATTTGTTGCTCCTGCATAAGTGTCAGTGATTTCCACTAAGTAGTTCTGAGCCACTGTATACGGATTTTATCTTGGTTATTTTACGAAAACCTGAATCTCTCACTTCCCCCCTTCCTTCTCACTGCGTTCATTCAATCGTTTTCCGAACTGTTTCTCATCTGTTAAAACATGTTTAAGTCTTCTTCGTCAGTAAAAGTAAACATCACCTGTGGCCCAAAGGGTCACATCGATCTCCCAAAAACACATGAATATTATTGAATGTGGACGACTTAAAAAAATAATACTCTTGTTTGATAGATTACATTCTTACCTTTCACCGACTATCTATAAAAACCCAGTGAATGCAAGCCGAATCGTAACGTATGTCTTTTAGTAACCTTACGAAACAGCAGAAAATTCAGTAATGAATAACCTTGGGAAAACAGAAGATACGCATATTGCTCTCTGCACAAAAGATCGTTGTGAAGAGTGCTTCTGCACACAAAAATTATGTGCTTTGTTTAGTTTTTATCTCTCCATCGAAGTTATAGAACAGCACTTTTCATGTGTTCCGCAACGATTGATCATAAACTAAAACTAATCTATTATACACTTTTCAATCTTACTACTACCGTGGGGCTTACAGGTGCAGGTGGAGAAATGGTGGAGACAGCACCGGATATGCACGTGGATGAGGTCGTGAAAACCCATTGTCATAGCACCTTGAGGTGAGTGGTGTTTTATTTGTCTGTGAAGTAAGCAAACACTTGCCCTCGCTATCTCAAAAGGTAGATAATATCATTATTATTGCACATTTCTTTTTCACTCTCTATTGAACTAAACTACCACTGGTAGGTATTGGCACGGCAAGGGCTTTCTATTTTCCTGATGCAAATTTAATACTTGAATCAGGTTTGATTTCTCGTGAAATCGTCATGTACACTCCACCTAATGCAAATACTCACGTATTTTGATCTTTGCAGACGTTTAAGGAAATTTCGAAAACGTACTCGGCGTGCTGTGATTGCATTTATCAACAGTCGTCAGTGCTTCGCCTTGATCATCATTCTGGTGTTTTTGAACACAGTTGTACTGACCACAGAGCATCACAATCAACCCAAATGGTTAGATGAATTCCAAGGTAAGAGCGTGCATCCTTTTTCTTTATCTCTCTGTTCGTCCCATTTCAAAACAACAATTAACAATTGAGGATAGCTTTTATCTCACTGCAGCCAGTTGTGAACTCGTCTTGTAAAGTAAATTGCTGTAGGTAGGAGGAGGAAAATACGAGTTTGATTTGGTAGTAAACGTGAAACAGTTATTGAAGCTTTGTTCAAGATAGAAAGATCTATTAAATGTTCTTCGCTTACACCATTCCATGTGAAAAAAGCTTATGGGATATTTGAGAGAAATGAAATAAAATATCGTCTGTATTTGGTAAGGCCTTTCTGTCATCAGTGTTCACGCTGTATTGTTACTTTTTTCTTTCATTCATGTGTTGAAAACCAATCCAAGGAGAAAATCACTGGAGAAGAGTTCCCAGTACGTTGAGAACGTTTGCCCTTTGTAGGTTTGCATTTAACTCACAGCTACTTGAGAATAATGGTGTGGGATAGATGTTACTGATTTGCACTGACTACCCTGCGGACTTCACCTTCAGGCATAGTCCTTAGTTTATCTATTCAACCATACACTCGAAAGCTACTATACTCGAATTTTACTCTTATTAGAGCTCATCAGTGGTACATATCCACCGTCCTAACCGGGATTTGAACTCCGGATTCATCGCACTTAATATCACTGAAGACGACATCTAAACAAACATGCGCTGGTAATTCGGTTCAGCCCTGATATGAGTTGGTTGACACAGTGGTAACACTCACGCCTTCCATGCCATGGATCCAGAGTTCAAAGCCTGGACAGGACGTTGGATAAACTCTAATAAGCGCAAAACCCAAGTCCAATGCTTCTGAGTTTATCGTTGACTGGATGAGCTGAGGATTGTGGAAGGTGAAGTCTGCAGAGTGGTCATTTCAAATCAACGTTTGTAGGTATCGCTGTGTTAGAGATAAGATTCCTAATTTCCAAAATAAATGATGTAACACACCCTACAGAATCGTTCATCACCCGCAATCCTTAGTTCATCTGGTTGTTGATACTCTTAGAAAGTACTAGGTTTGGGTTTTGCTCTCATTGGAACTCACCAGTATTGCCCATTAGAAGGCTCGTCTATGTTTTGAACATCGCATTAAAGATTTGTGTTTGTCCATATCCACTCTGCGAAATAGCTCACACCGGAGACCGACGAGATATATAGCGATTTAAGTGATGTCTACCTGCAATCGGAGACCAGAAACGAAGGAATACTTTTAATTGGAGTTAGTAGCAAGTAGTATACTGCCCCCTTCGTTGCTGTCGATCCAAAAAAGAACTTGCTGACTTTCATTGATGAAATCTAAAAAAAATGAACCTCCTGTTTATGATCACACCTGTTGTGAGCCGATTGACCTTCCATGTATAAGGTTCAGAGTTCATAACCCGAACTGGTGGGTGAACATGCGATCCTACTGAGTTTCAAAAAGGACACGTCTCTAGTCTGAGGCTTTCTGTAGGCTTATTGCCTAGTCTGCGTACTGAGTCTGTGCGATTGAATTCTGTGGAATGGTCAATCCAAGCATTATCACTTTTTATCGCTCACCGCACCAATCAGTATTGCGCAGTTCATCAAATGAAGCTACTTAACATTCTGCCCTGGAATCTTTGAAGCATGGACTAGACTAGACAAAGTCAATAATCTACCACCCCTCCCCCAATTTTCGCATTTCTTTTTGTTGCTCTCTCCCCAGATTTTGCCAATGACGTCTTTGTCACCCTGTTCACCCTGGAAATGCTGATCAAAATTGCCGCTGCCGGACTGGCGGACTACTTCTCCAAATTGTTCAATCGATTTGATTTTTTCATTGTCATTTTCTCCATCCTCGAATTGCTCCTGGTCAAATTCGGTGTACTCAATCCGATGGGAGTTTCTGTGCTGCGCTGTGCGCGACTGTTACGAATTTTCAAACTTACACAGTACGTTTTTGTTTTTTCCGCGTGCTGGCTACCGGAATCCGCAAGCATTGAGATTCCATTCTTCTTTCACTCGCCTTCGCCGCAGTATATTATCCCAATTGGACTCAGTCATACAAAGAAAATTTTATACAATATTTAGCGGGTATCCTGCAGTCGATTCTTAAAAATTCCTACTGGAGCAGTCCGTGTACATGCCACCAAGCCTTGTGTCTACATACCTCTTTGTGAGTTAGGTGGGCAAACCAGTAGGACACAATCATCGAGTGGTATCGTTCTAGCTCCCTAGAAGCGGCTCACAGTGAGCAATCTTTATTCCAGAATATGTAAATTTCACTGGGACTCCCGTTGTTCTTAACAAATAACCTAAGATGCGAATCGTCCTTCATCTACATGTAGATAAAAGACCATTATTTCAAACTCTTCTTCTCAAAGTAATTGTTCCTGAGCGTTAAACGTTTGAAATGATTTTTTCAATCCCACTTGAATCTGTGCTCTCCGAAAAAAGAGCACTTGGGAAAAACAGCTTCAACAAGAAAAAAACAACTTTGAAAACCGAAGGATTGTCATCTTAATTTCAATTTATCTTACTGAAAACGCCAACTGAGTAAAATGAAAAGTAGAAGTCATGGGAATTCCAACTGCCAATGTTTGTTGAAAGTTCCCTCCGATTGGTACCGTATCGGTAGAAGTCGGTAGCCATAAATCTTTTATGGAATGATCCAAAAGTCAACGGGCTGACCAATTGGATGTATAAGAGCGAACTGGAGAAAGGTCAGCATGTAAGGAATAGATTGGATGATAAAGATCTTCCCCAGCTAAAGTGAGCAAAAAATTTCATATGGGGTCCGCATCGTTTGAGTGATAAAACACTCAGTGCAATTGGGGAAATGTGGCTTATGATAGCCAACCCGTGATGGATTACCTTAAAATCTTTTTGAAGCATATTCGGAACAACCACAGCTGAACAGTAGATAATAATTTAAAAGACACGACTGAAGTCATATTGGAATATATTATTATTTGAATTAACTCAAATCATCTCGGCACACGAATGTGAAAGGTGAAGCAGCGAAGTTTACAAATTCTGTGTTCCCAAAAACGTCAAAAAGTTTATAATATTTTGATGCAAGTGATATTCCAAGGTAACCAAGTAGACTTTGACTTCGACAAAATTGGTAGGACCTATCACGTTTTGGAAAATCACGAATCAAGTAAGATATAAGCTCATTGTTTATGTTCTACCTCCCCGGGTGAACCCTGTGAAGGCCACATTCTTTGGGTCTCGCAAAAGAATTTTGCTTCCGAAGTGGTTGTTTTTTTTCATTTGTTGTTTATCCGACTAAAATCGATCAATCGATAGGTAGGTAAGTTTAAAACTGTGCGATAAACGTTCCTCTGCCCGTTCGTTGGTCACCACACGATGGACATCGGATTTCGGTCTATACCACTGCGACCTATCGGTCAAATAAGCGTGATAATCCTCTTGGAATAAAAGTTATCGCAAATTCCACAAAAGGAAATGCAAAAGTCGTATAGATGTTTCGAAAGTTGAAACGTGGACATTTGTTTGTTTGATGTTGATAAAAATTCAGCGGGACCGAATGACAATTGTTGTGAAGCAAATATCCCTTGTTTTTTCCAACACCTTGAATTTTTGCTTCTTTTCCTATCAAATAATTGATTGCGCTAAAAAAACTACAGGAACTAGGGAGCGAGCAATCAAGGGGAACATTTGGGCCATGGTTATGCTGTTCAAACACGCAAGACCTCCGAGGTCGACAGTTTGTGGAAGTGAAACACTTGATTACCGCCACCCAGTTGTGATAGGAATTCTCTCCAGTGTAGACTACCGGCTAGCGCAACGAGATCAAGCTGACTTTAAAAAAGGTAATCGTCAAATGTTCAACCTTAGTGTATGAAACAAACTCAAAGTTACATTATATAAATATCTGCCCCAGCTACGTTTAATCACCAGGTGGAACACTGCAACCCATGACTATACAGATGACCCTCCTCGTTAATGTTAAAGCGTTCCATCTTCAACCAACATTCATGAAGAATAAAGAACACATTATTAAACCACTGATGTGGGCATTCAGTTTTTTTAAGTGCATCAAAATATGGTGCTCTGTTTCGGCCCTCCGGAATCCACGATCAGACAACCTCTCTGTTCTCCCGCTCAGTTATTTTAAAATCAAGCGGTGNGACTGAGAGATAGTAACCAAAGTGATGTTACAATATTCAGTAGCTGCACCGATCAGTATGAGGATGGCGTTAATTTGGTGTTAGATGTCGTAGTGTTCGTAGTAATGGCAATATTATGATATTTTTAGTGATACCAATTTACTTACTACTAGGAACAGTGCTGGTATTTTAATATTGATAAAATGACCGTTTAACCTAGGTTAAAAAGAGCTAAACTAGTGCTTTTCCACTGCTGACTGACAGTATGCGTGGTTAACGCATACAGACTGAATTTCTTCGTTGGGAAATGGCGGTTGAGGAAAGCCCAATGAACCCGTTGTCTTCTGTTTGACCATGTAAGAGTTTCACAGGCTGTGTGATGCATAACAACAACAACAATAACAATAGGGGTGTCAAACATGTGATGTTTTATCGCCAAACAACTCGAAATGGTGAAGAAGTGCATCACATATCCACCGGAAGTTGTTATTTGTTTACTATGATTTGTGCTCAATCTAACATGTCACTGTATGAACTCAATAGGTTTCTATATCACTTTGAAATGTCCCGGTGTCGAAGCACTACGTGAGCTGAATATTGCAGGATCCACTTTTTACATGCCATAACTCAAGCAATGCGCTGTAACCTAACTTATTGAATATAGTGCCGTCCTTCTCATAGTATGTAAGCTCAGTCATTTGATTCATCCACAGCTTGCACAAGCCTCAATGCTATCCTCGTCTTTGCTTGGCCGAGATTAGCTCACGGTTGTTCTCACGACTAGATAAAGTGACTTGAGTTTTCCTGGTTATTATGTTATTGAGCTCTATGGTCACTACACCAATCCGACCTACCACTTACGGCTCCCAAATCATGCCCGAAAAGTACTAGTTTCCAAAACCTAGAAAGGAACGTGAATTCAGAGGCTTGTTTTTGCACTGCGCAACATACTGCAACAGTAAATCTTTAATTACCTGCCTGACTTCTGAAGTTCAAAGTGGGATGTCTTTAATCAATCCCGGGATATCGCTTATAAAAAAGGCATTGAACTGTGAAAGTAGGCTCTGGGAAGTGGAATAGTGAATCCAAATACCTCGACAGCG